GGAGCACTGGTTAGTGCGTCGACACGAGAGAAGGCGTCAGCGACGATGTTGGCGGATCCATCAACGTGTTGAATGTCAGTCGTAAACTGTGCAATGTAAGACAGTTGATTCTGCTGCACTGGAGGTAATTTATCGCGACGTTGATCCATTGCGTAGGTCAAAGGCTTGTGATCTGTGTAGATCGTACAATGCTGTGCCTCGAGGATATGACGAAAATGGCGGACAGCTGCGTGGACGGCTAGAAGTTCTCGATAATAAGCTGGCCAATCTGATTTTCGTGGGGTATGCTTCTGAGAGAAGAATGCCAGTGGTTGCCAGGAGTCGTCAACACGCTGCTGAAGAGCGGCACCAATGGATGTACTGGAGGCGTCACAGAAAAGGGCAAGCTGGGCGTTGTGATCTGGGTGCGTCAGAAGCGTAGCTTTTACCAGGTTGTCTTTGCAGGCAGTGAAGGCTTGGTCCAGGTCCGGTGTCCAGTTCACAAGCTGGTTGCCTCGAAGTTTGGACAGGGCGGTGTGGAGAGGCGCTTGATGCTTTGCCGCAGAAGGTATGAACCGGCGATAAAAATTTATCATGCCCAGAAAACGACGCAGACCTTTTGCTGCGGATGGGCGAGGGAAGTTACAGAGGGCGTCAATTCTGTCTGGAAGAGGCCTGGTACCTGCAGAGGAGACTTCATATCCAAGAAATTTCACTGCTGGTTTATTCAGTACACTTTTCTTCACGTTGACTAGGATACCATAGTCAGAAAGGCGAGTGAAAAGGGTGCGAAGATGTTTTTCATGTTCGTCAGCATCTCGTGAGAAAACCAGAATATCGTCTATGTAGGGAAAGCAGAATTCCAGTCCGAAAACAACTTCATCTATAAAGCGTTGGAATGTCTGTCCGGCGTTTCGTAGCCCAAACGACATAAATGGAAACTCAAACAGGTGTTGTAATGGCTGTTTTCGGAATGTCCTTAACGTTGACGGGAATCTGGGCCTTGACGAGGTCAATGATGGAATAGGTGGTGCATCCACGAAGTCGATATGTGAAATCGTGGATATGTCGCACTGGATATCTGTCTGGTACGGTTCTGGCGTTGAGGACACGGTAGTCGCCACAGGGTCTCCAACCGTCTGGTTTCTTTGGAACCATGTGCAGGGGAGAAGACCAGGGTCCATCTGAGCGGCGGGCCGTTCCTTCACGGAGCATGGCATCGAATTCAGCTTTAGCCAATACTAGGCGATCAGGGGCAAGGCGTCGAGGGCGGGAAGAAACAGGTGGTCCAGGTGTCGTTTTAATATAGTGCAACGTGGAATGGCGGATCTCTCGGAACGTTCCAGCAGGGCGAATGAGCGCAGGAAACTCTGACAGGATGGAATTGCCAGGCGACTCGGGAATAATGTCCTTGACGCTGACTTGGGGAATGCTGACTGACTGGCAAGGAGTGGAGATGCCAGTGACGCTGTCGATGAGGCGTTTATTGCGGCAGTCAGGTAGAAGTCCGAAATGCGCCAGAAAATCGGATCCAAGGAGAGGAACACTCACGTCGCGACGCGTCGGCGATGACAAAATTCCAAACAAAGGCACGTCGAAGTCCAAAATTTAAATTTAGTGTTAAAACGCCATAGGTATGGATGATGGAGTTGTTGGCAGCACGCAGTTCGTAGCTGACACGGCATCGACGATCGGCGAGAAATGTCCGAGGAAAACAACAAATGTCGGAGCCTGTGTCTAATAAAAATGTATGTTTTGTCGTACGGTCTAAAACAAGAAGGCGGCGTCCTCCGGTAGGGCAGCCGGCTGCCGCCGTCACTGACTGCCGTTGGAGTTTGTTGAAATGAACGAACAGGGTTGGGTGCACTTGGTGGCTTGGTTGCTGAAACGTCGGTGATACCAACAGACGGTTCTGGATGTGGAATTGGCAGACGAAGAACGGTTGCGACGATCACCAGATAAAGTGTGGTTTCGTGGCCGAGAGTGATGGTTGATTGATTTTATGTCGATCTGCATTGCAGAAATCTGACGCAAAAGTTCGTTCAACCGCTGGGAAAATGGGTCGGATACAGTTGCAGGCGGAGTAGAAATGGAATGGACCGCACCAGAGGTGGAGGATGCGAGTAGTGGGGTATTAGGCAACCTACCAAGGATCGCAGATGACGGAGAAACTGGGAAGGGGTACGATCGCCAAGCTCCTCTTCCATTAAAAGCTGGCGCACACGACGCTCTTCTGACACTGACAGGCGGCGAATAATTTCTGTCTTTAATGTGGTATATGGTGTGTTAGCAGGTGGATTGATGATTAAATCTTCAACCTCATTTGCGTACCATTCGTCCAGGTGTGAAATCACGTAAGAATATTTGGTTATTTCCTGGGTGATATGGGCGATCATGAATTGTGCTTTGACCTGAGCAAACCAGAGGGTCGGCTTGTCCTTCCAGAAGGGCGGAAGCTTCACAGTAACGCGATGAACTTCTGAGGAAGGTGGTTCAGTTGTTTGACAAACCTGTTTTTTTTCTTCGTCTTGCTGACTTAATTTTTGTTGTTGCTGCTGCTGAAGTTGCAACAGAAGGGATTCATTTTGTTTTTGAAGTTGTTGAAGTTGCTCTTGTAAAGCCTCCATCACGCAATCACCAATCGAACACGATGCGTGAAACGCGACGGACAAAAGTCAACTTGGGCACAAAAACAGTCAGGGCACTATTGCTCTTATCGGGGTCACCAATGTGGGTAATTTGTAATAAATTGATTTTATTAAATTATTTTTACAGTTCTTGTCAAAACTATTTTTATTTATTATTTTTATCTCTTGGTTACGGTCACCACAGGTATATCCTATAGGTTTAACACACTCGACTATAGCTAGCCATTATTCGTTACTGAGCAGATGAGAATGGAGATGGGGACTTCAAACAATTAATGTTCAGCTATGCTATTACAGACGCACACTTCCAACTAAATATTGCAACCCATCGCTATTTATAGTTAGCTCGCTTGCATAAGCAGCCGTGAGATGTATTGCTTTTGACGCGGCAGGCCGTATTCCGGCCGTAAGCGGGCCGGCTAGGACAAGCCGAACGATTTTGCAGCGGCATGCCGTATTCTGGCCGACTTTGGTTAGAACATGGCCAAACGGTACCGGGCTAACATAACGCGGGCCATAAGCAGGACGACTGGGTGTTGGGGGTGTTTGGTGCTTACTGGGTTAAATCACTGTTATTCTGCAAGATGTCCAGTGACGAAGAAATCACTATATTAGTTACTCTATAAAAATGAATTAGTCAAAAATGTCATAGCGAAAAAGCAGACACTAATAATTCTCGTCAACAGCAATTTGTATCCAGGACATTTAGCAGTCAATTCCTATAAAATATTATTCGCTGAATCCGAAAATGTCGTCAAAAGTATAAAAATAAAAATTTTTGAAATATAATCAATTTTATGTAATATGTCATATATTATATATAATATTATATGTTATACAATATTTATTTGACTATATTTCAAAAACTGCTTAACATTTATAGTTTTTGACGGTCTTTTCGGATTCAGTGGTTTACCTCTCGGCTATTATCATTGAAGTACCTACCATGTAATATTTTAAAAGTTGTTGCAGAAATTATTGCTTTATGGTTAACTTTTATAATAAATGTATGCTTTGAAAAGGGATATTTTCCTCGACAAGCAAAAAAAGGCATAATAATACCTATTTTTAAAAAGGATGACAAAAGTAATTTATTGAATTATAGACCAGTTTCGCTTTTAACTGTCTTATTGAAGAAATTTGTAAGAACTTTTTATAATAGGGTTATATTTTTTACCAACAAATATAAATTAATAACTGAAAGACAGGATGGATTTATTCGGGTACAGTCAACACAAACAGCTATGATTTCGGTTTATAACATTTGAAAACAAACTTAAAACCTGTGGAATTTTTTGATTATACATTTTGTTTTGATACTGTAAATCATAAGTTGCTCCTAAGCTACGACAGAAAATACCAGTTTTGTTTTATTACCCAGTCATTAGAAAATCAGATGGACGAACAAGGAAACATGTTACTTGATGAAGGACATTTGTACTTTTAACAAGATGGAGGTCCTCTATGCTTTACCAGTCAGAGAATGGTTGGCAAGATCGCCAGTTTTGTAGGGTCATTTAAAAACACAAGTCTACAAAACACTATCTGAGAACATTCAAGAACTCAAACGAAGAATACTTCAAGAATGTAGGCAAACAACTCCTGAAATGTTTTAAAAAGTTTGACAATAGTTTAAAGATTGTGTTATTGCAAATAAAGAAGCACATTTTGATCATTTAAATTAATTTTTCTATGGAATTCTTTGTTTTATTTATATTACACCTTTTTTGTTCTATCTAATCTGTGATCGGATTTTAATATTTTTTAACTTCAATCAGACATTTAATTTCCTTTAACAAATGATGTGTCCCAAGGTATAGGGTAAAGGGTAGCTGGGGGTAAGAGGGTGCAACATAAAATTTGTTTACTTTCGACCTGTTTTTGCTCAAGATCATATTTACTATAACTCAAAAGTTATTAAGGGTGGCTAGTTTTTCCTTTAAAGAATATCTAAATTTTGTTTTGTTATGTTGGTTATTTATCTATTTTTTTAACTAGATATAAATATTTCAAATTTTTAAAAATTTAGTTTTAATATTTACGATTAAGATCGTATGTAATTGATTCACTTGTAATTATTTCGTCTCCGCTTTTGTTTAATTTCGTTCGTGTTCCACACCAGCATCGGCAGACAGCTGTTTCGATCTATTGGATCTCATCAGTGCCGAGTTGCTGTTTGGTTCGTGTTCCGCGGAGACGAAATAATTACAAGTATTTCAAATTTTATTTCGCTTTGTATATTTCTATTATTTTGTGACGTTTTTTTATACAATTTTGTAAATTGTCCTTTGAAAATAAATTTATTATTATTAATATTTTAATTAAGTAAGTTGTTAGGGATGATTTAAAATGTTAAAAATCCAAATGTTGGTAAAACATGCGGAAAACTATCTTTATTAGTACCTACATTTTCTTATAGATACAGAAGTAATAAAATTAAATGTCTTTTGTCCTAAGCCGCACAATACGTTAGTAGATGAGTTCTTGAGCAGGGATTGTGACAGCATTCCTCTACTATTCCGCGACGGGGCTTGAGCGGCACGAAATTTCTCGGGTTGTCTTCACTTAAAAACGGATACGATAATTCCAAGTCGAGGAAGCCGTTTTCGTTGTCATCCTCGTATTCGTTTGCAAGAAAATCGTCGAAAGCTAAAAAAACTTTGATTTAAGATACAAACAGATAAGTTATTTTTTTCAGATTGACATAAAATCCGAAATTGTATTTATTTGTGAAAAATGTATTCTTTATTTTGCTTATTACTTATTAAAAATATATATAAAATATGTGTAAGATAATATAAAAATATAAAACATATTAAGATTTTTTATTTTGTTAAATATTTTATGCTTAAAATTTATGTAACTTTTTACACACAGTGGTTTTTTATTCAAAAAAGGCTCAAACAATATTCGCTATATCACACCTCAAAATATTCGACATATATTTGATTACTCGTACCTACCTACATTATATTATAATAAATTATAAAATAAAAAATACTAATATGTTTCAAATTTTTCTTTGGGTTAAAGTACAAATTTGTATCTTGTTATATTATAATATTTATAAAATTTGCCTAAATTAGGTATTATAAGTTTCAAATCACAAATTTTAATAGTAAACAATTAAATGAACCAGTTTAAATCTACCTGATGGAAAAATTTACCTTTAATCTAAACTTTATTATTGTCAACACTCACCACTTAATTGATTGATTATCGCCAAGGCGGGTAAAGTTTTTTACCTCTAGTACAAAAATTCGATTTCTGTAAGATGTAGCTAACATAATTATTATTATAATTGTACATTTTTTTTATCGTTTGACAAATAAAATTATGCATTAAAGATGAAATGTTGTATGTTTAAAGAAATTAAGATTTTACCACCAATTTTAGGTAAAGTTTTCCGTTACGTTGATTTATTACAAGAAGTAAATTGCTATTTAAGATTTAGGATCAAACACCCAATCTTCGTGGTGGAGATAAATGATCCGTTTATTGCTAATCCATTTAGTTTATGTAACTGTGTTAGTTTGGAAACTATTTGCTTTAAATTACTGTAACAAAATCATTTTTACAAAACTTTTTTGTATTTGAAATTATAACCTTAAATATTATTTTTAGAACCTGTTGGTTGGAATATCTTTATAAATTTGTGTTCCAATTAATTATTTATTTCAAAATATTCATGTTTTAAAAATTATTCCGGTATCCGAGCCTCTTGGATAAAAGACATTTATAACATTTGTCATATAAATAATTACATTACAACATTTATACCAATAAATCATTCATAAGAAAAGTTTTAAAAAACCCTTGTCTTACTGGATATACTAACCACTAGACCATACGGGATACTCTTTATAATAAACCAAACTTATTATTCTGCGCGCGCGATTATCTTTGAAACGCTTACATTTGTCAAAAAACAAAAAAAAGTTTTTTGTGGATTATTTAATTTAAAAAAAAAATATATAAATCCCAAGTAAAATTTGTTTTTTCAAAACTTTGTATACTTTTTTATAGAGCGTAAAATTTTCTAAAATAATCTCTATTAAGATAGTTTATCCGTCAAGCCTTTTTGCGGAATTTTTTTAAACGTTATTTAAAAAAATGGAAAAAATAAAAAAGCCAGCTTTAAATATCAATTTTAAGAGCTTATATTTGAGTAAGTTATTTTAGATAGACAAGAGTGCATAATATACAGGGTGTCCTTTTTTTAGGTTAAGCATGGGTATCTCGCTTATCTTTAGAGATTCATAGTTAAATTAGGAAAAAGTTGCGCATTTGTACGTCGAATGTGTATTTTTTATTAAAGAACGGTTAAACGTAGCCTTTTCTAATTCGGACATTATTAAGGCAAAATAATAAGGAAAATAATTATTTCAATCTGCTAAATTCTTTTTGCCAGCTTTCCAAACTGACAGGCTAAGCATAGCGACTTAACTTGACTATCTTATTTTAAGTAAATCATATAACCTGTCTATTTAAATTTCACGTTTTTCATTTTCACTTAGGTTATTGTGAAAACTCGACTTGGGGCCGGTTTATCAATTTTTGTTAGTCTATCTGACAGTTAAATTCCATATCGATCTTTGTGAGAACAATGGTATCCATGGAAATTATCTGCCAGATAACTAACTGCAACTTTAACCGGACATTGATAAATCGGCCCTTAATAACTTAAAACAAAAAAACGTACCTAAACATATAATTCTTATACATTTGGGAAAACCTAGATAAGCTTTAAAATCTTTTATTTTTACTGTAACTCAAACTTTTTTGATTATTATATTTTCAACAGTAAGTTTAATCCTTTAATAGAACTTTTAACTTGACTAAGATTAGGTACACATTGTCTAAGATATCGGTGTCAATAGTCAATACAGTCCCATTTTGGCAAAAATCGACCAAAAATATATGAAACAAAAAACTCTAGATAGACATCTAAATATCTAAAATATACCGGGTGTTTCATTAAAAAACAATGTTTGTTTAATTGTCCTATGCTTTTTTCTTTTATTTTTGTCATAAGGATTTTTGAAACCACCCTGTACATAAATGTAAAAAATATTTTTTCTACGACCACTATGTAAAAGTAACTTTTCATGATGGCATCGTTGCTTAGAAAATGAACCTTTTCATTGGCAAGGCAAAACACGAATGTAAAGTGACATTTCTGTGTGAAAATTGACAGGTCTGTGTGAAAAGAACCGGAAAGCATCGTTTGACATTCAGCTGTCAAAAAAGTTTTTAGGTTATTTTGTTTTGTATTTAAAAATAATAAAAAATAAAAGGGTCGCAGAAAAAACGTTGTGTTATACTTGTGAGAAAAGCTTTCTTCAAGCTCGTGTTAATGCACACTCGGCCTAACGGCCTCGTGGGCAACTTAAAAACTCGCATGAAAAAGTCGCTTTTCAACACTTGTAAAACAAATAACTACCTATTGTGATTTTATTTTTAGCTTACGAATCAAAAGAACGTTTTGTGTTAAAGTCTTTACATAAAAAAAATTAAACTCAATAAAAATTAAATTTCAACAAATACTCAATGTTCTTATTTATTTGATAATTTGAGCTTAAAATTGTATGGCACAGAGAGCAAATAATTCCTATTTTTACCATCTTTAAGCTACCTAATAAAAATATTTAAGCTACATGATAATAATGTTGTTATAAAAATGTGGAGCTAAAAAGGGTCGGAAAGCAATACTATACTTCTCAGATATTTTTTAAGACGCTCAGGAAAAACTATCAAAATCAGAAAACACGATTACAAAGCTTGTAAATGTAGTAGTAAACAAATCGTTCTTAACTGAGCTACACAAGGACTACAAACTCAATAGAGGGAATTAACAGATTCTGCCTAGTAAATCGCACAATTACGTGTTCGTTTTCACCACTGGCAGCGAGATTTTAATTTTGTACAAACGTCTTTCAGTACTGTACATACTAAAAAACAAATAGCCCCCTCTTATTTTGGGTAACCATTTGAATACATGTTGTTCGTACTCCTTGTGTAGATATGAATTATAACCCCAAAATGTTTTGTTCTCATTTTAAATTACACAAATATAAGTACCTACCTTGTATATTAGATTTCTTTATCGCTGGTGAATTGTAGTTTCCATCGCATATAATACTCAATGCTTTTCCTAATTTCTCTCCGCACAGTCTTGCTTTCTTCTCATAATTCTTGTAATAAGGTGATGCAGACGTTGACACAAAATAAGTAAGGAAAAAAAGAACAAAAAACGCTTTTGTGTTCATCTAAAATACAAAAATCACATTACATCACAACACAGCAATAAAAATCAGAAGGTGAAATTCATTGACCAACATTTTAATGAATGACATATTTAGAAAACAACAGTCAGCAAATTTACGAATTAAAATTTACAAAATAACAACATTTAACATACCGTTTATTTTGCACTGTTTGTGAGGTATTAGAACACTAGGCTATTTTCTCGTTGTTGGTTACTTTTATAGTAAATCAGTTACTAGGGCTAAGGTTAGGGGAAGGCGACAATTTTGCCTAAAATAACATTGTCAATAATATTAGCAAATCGTTTAAGATATCCATGGGGTGCATTCTATTTTACTTCGTAGCCATTAATATGTGCCACAGATTTGGTAATAAATTATAGAATAGAACAGGGTGGAATTAACGCAGAAAATGTTGCTTTTATTTAACACCACGTGTATATTTTTAAAGGAAAATAGTAATTTATGTATCAAGTGCACCAAATGGTGATTGAATATTACTTTTTTTTAATTAAAAAATTATTAGAAAGCCCCAAAGAAATTTCAAATTTAAGGTGCAACTTTGTTTCTTTAACTTTGACAAAAAATTGTTATTTTTATACCCAGTATAAAATATATTCATAATTCCGCTTACGCATCCCGTTCCGAAAAAAATAACTATCGACATTTGTTACGGATTCTGCTTTTGTTATAAAACTTCAGTTAAAAACGTACTAAAAAATAATAATAATTTATTGCTTGCTAATAATACAATCGTATTTTACAAATGTCAAATATAATATATATATATATATCGTATATTATAGTATACACTGTTCAAAATTTCATGACCATTTTAACACCAAATTAACACCATATTTGGTATATATCGATACAAACCAAAATGGTGTTAAATAGGGTTCGTTCGTACGGTGTTAATTTAAATACTAAAATGGTGTAAATTCAAATACTAAAATGGTGTAAATTTAACTTTCACACAGTATTAAAATAAATTTTACCTGGTGTAAATTGAACTCCTTTTCAGTGTTAAATATTATGTGTTTGTGGTCAAATTAAATCATACTACACAGAAAAAAGGAAAAAAAAGGAAACAGGAAGTTCCTTGACGCATTACTAGTACATTACCAGTGGTATTATTCCAGAAAATGGAACCTTCAACTCGCTAGAGATAATGGTTTTAGTTCGTTCCACTAACTTAAAATACTTCAAGTATTGACAGCTGTTTCCACCTATTTAAGGTCTAGTATCGAACAACTTGTAGTGTCACACCAAAGCAAAGGACAACATGAGCTTATATATTCTTCATGTAAGTCAACAGAGGCGAGATTTAAGAACATCACGTGATCCACAAAAAAATAAATACTTATGGGTCAACTAAATTAATATAGTTAAATGAACTATTTCTTTTTTTCTGTGTAGGTGCACTTCTCAAATATTTTTAGATAAACACCGTTTTGGTGTTCATTTTCAACCATAATTCATGGTGTTATATTAACACCACTTGGTGTTGGATTTTGACACCATTTTAGGATTACTTTTTACACCACAGATATTTTAAACAGTGTACAATAAGCATTAAAAAGTGTACAGGGTTATCCTCTATAATGTCGCCCCCCTTTAACTTTTTTATTTTAGGTGTCCCAAAAAATTTAAAAGTGTGGTTATGTAGGTACTAAAAAATACTTTTTTTCTACTTATAAAAAAATTAAAAATTGATCAATATACAGGGAAAAACAAAAATATTTTTTTTTCAATGGATCACCCTATATATGAATTTATTTTTCGATTCCTTGTAAAATTCTGAGCATAATTCATATAACAAACCATATACCTAAATTCAACCGTTTCTGAAATATTCGCATTCGAAATGTTATCATTAAATGTTTTTTTTTAACTGTTAGATGTATTTTATATGAAATATGCTTAGAATTTTACAAGGAATCGAAAAATCAATACATGTATAGGGTGATCCATTGAAAAAAAATAAACTTTTTGTTTTTCCCTGTATACTGATCAATTTTCCAATTTTCTTTATAAGTAGAAAAAAAGTATTTTTTAGTACCTACATAACCACACTTTTAAATTTTTTGGGACACTTAAAATAAAAAAGTTAAAGGGGGGCGACATTATAGGGGATCACCCTGTACAAGACTTGTAAAGACAAGTAAATATATCAAGATCATAATTCAAAAACTTACTGATGCTGTAAAAATATGGTATTCAGTAATTGGCCCTTAACCTTTATAGGTTCTAATTTCCAAGTCTCTTACCTTTATGCGAAGATGATTAAAACGATCTTAGAGGTAATAGACAAATATTTAAGTTATTTCTTGTACTTGTCACTGACTGTGAGATATAAAACTAGACTGGTTCTTTTTGATAAATAAAAGACAATCCAGAATAAAAAGGGTAAGAACTTTCATTTTTCTGAAACTAGGTCGTCTCGATACCCGATACCTGCTTTAATTCTTACTGCTCTGCGCTGTAGATTAAATATTCTATCATGAGAGCTACAATGTCTCAATAATAAAATACCATAATATACTTCTCCTTAACACAATCTACCATGACATATTATGTCATGGTAGATTGTGTTAAGGAGAAGTAGAGTGTATTTAAAAATTTAACGTTTGAAACAGCAGAATTATCTACAAAAGGTTTAAGTGTAAATGTCTTATTAACATAACAGTCATTTTTCTATTTAAATCTAATTTGTTTGCTATTAATCAGAGCGAAGCTTGTAACTGTAAATCGGCACTTCCGCAGCTGCTAAGTGGTCTTTTCCCAATTATGGATGTATCATCTGCAAAGAGTTTATTTTTTAAAAAATTTCAGGTACATAGATATCGTTAATGTAACGTAAAAATAATATTGGGCCCAAAATAGAATCCTGCGGAATGCCATGTACAATTGGATGATAGATCACCATTGATTCTGACACATTGTATTCTATTAGATAGGTAGGATAAGTATGCAGTTGAGAGGGTTTAAGTTTTAAAAGTAAAGTTTTAGTAATATTGTATGCGAGACTCAGTCAAAGGCTTTGCTCAGTTCAAAAAATCTTGCCAAAGCATATTAGACTTTTAAGATAGTTTCGATATATGTAAGGATTGCAGTTGTTATAGAAATTGGTTATTGTTAAGAATTTTGGAGGATTCCAAGTAAGTAAGTAATTAACAAGGTTTGCTAAAAATACCGGGAATTTTTAATTTTTTTTGGGAATCCATTATTAATTAAATCCTTATTAGACGTTACACATTTATGCCAGCCTTTCTTTCAATCCCTGAAACACCTCAAGTACTCAATCTTTGGAATAGCTCTTAGGCCTTTCAGCGATGCGCTAATCTTATACAAATTGTAAAACCATAGCCGTATACGGCTTTTTAATGTATTCATTTTTGTTGGGGATACAAGAAAAGTCACTTTGAACTATGTCTGATGAATATGGAGGGTGAGGAATCACTACAGACTTGTTCTTGATCGAAAATTTACAAATAAGTAACTATGTGTAAGAAGGGATTAACGTAAGAAAAAGCGATTAACACACTTGTTTGCCAAAACTTGATTTATTGCCAATAATCTTTACAAAAGCAAGGGGCAAAATACATTTCCTTTATTACATTACCTGAAAATCGCAGATGGGGGCTAATCCTTATTCTGATTAAGTTAACTGTCAATTTAGCGCAGTAGTTCCCATGCCGTTCTCTTCTTATTCCCACCCACGTCCAATTCTAACACCTAAAATCACCAGACTAAATTTCATTAAAATTTGTTCAGCCGTTAAAAACAACTAAAAATGCATGCGCTGGGAATAATTATATGTGAATTTTGGAGTGTTCTTAGCGATTTCATGTCATTATAGGAATTCACTGTCAAAATTTCAGCCCTTTAGGTCCAGAATATTTAAACATATTTAAATTATATAAATATACCGTACCTTCATCTGCCTTGTATACATAGGAAAAAAACATTGTCAAGTGGACCAGATAATACGCGGTTAACGCTAAGCGTGGTACTTTTATAAATACTGTTGTAAACTGTGTTGTAAAACAATTTAGACTATGCCGACGGCATGTATCGGGGAATTTATTACTGTTTTGTATTACACTTGTGTTGTAATTTTACGCTTAGCGTCTGGTCCACTTGTACGGTAGGTTTCGGAAAAAATTAAATTTTTATTTCAATCGATTTTTGGAAACGAAAATTAGGAAAAATGGATATATTTTTTTGTAAATTGCAAGTTTTATAGGACTAAGACTCGAGTGTCTCCGATGAAAAAAGACCTAACTGTTCTTTTTAACTTGTAAAAGGATCAGCCTCAAATACAAGAAGTTTAAAAATAGCTGAACTTAAGGAGGTTCGGGCAGTACATTGCGTGGAAAAGGGTAAGGTTGCTTTTATACTTGAATATATAAATGCATGAATAGCGATGGGAACCAACTTGCAAAAACAAAATTTACTTTGTAATTTTATTACATTTTATTTAAAAAAAAACAGACAACTTTCTTACTAATTTCATAATTATTCTTTGTGTGAATTAAAAAAACCCAAAAAGAGTTTTTAAACGCGACAACATTAATTGCGAGTTGTTGATAGTTGGTTTCTATCGTAACGATTTTCCCTTTTGACAGTTGCAGTCACATTTCTTAATGCAGTTTTATTTAAAATCTTAAAATGGGTTGTGGAAACTAATTAATATGTTCTGTGAAACTCATATACGAGGTGTGTTCAGAAAATAACGAGAATTTCTAAATTTCGAGGATTTGGAGAGTCCGGTTATCATAAAATTGTCTTTATAATGTTGGTATACATACCCCTGAAGAATGATAAAAATTTTATATGTTTTTAGTGTTTACTTTGTCTGTGGCAGCCGCTAAGGTTAGACGTGTTTTATGAGCTCGGCGATTTTCGTTCGTTAAAAGAAATGTATCAAAGAATTTGTATCAAATAAAGTGTGTGAAATGTTAACAAAGTCATATGGTGAGTCTGCTATGAGTAAAACAAGAGTTTATAAGTGATATAAGAGTAAAGACGTTGAAGATGACGAACGCCCCGGACGCCCAAGCACATTAACAACGGATAAAAACATGGAAGAAGTGGAAGAAATGGTTATGAACGATCACCGAATCACAATTAGAGAAGTTGCTGAAGATTTTGGCATATCGATTGGCTTATCCCATGAAATTTTGTCGAT